GTTGAAAAAGTTACAACTTTGCTACATTACAAGTACGAATCAAATTTACAAGTACAAATCAAATTTACAAGTACAATTCTTTTACCTGTCAAAATAACAGATATTATGCATGGAACACCGGAAAGATCGATTGCAAACAGTAACTAAGCCAGACCTCTAGGGGGACATGACCACTGCCTCATTTGGGACCAGATGAACTCGTTATAAAGACAACAATTAAGCATTTGGAGGCTTTTCAGTTTGTCATTCATGTCGGTTTGCATTCACATTGTGCTTTTTTGCAAACAAACTATAACTTGTAAACAAAGCCACAAGGATGATGATCATTGCTCCCATTGGACAGAAAGGACGGGGGCGGCACTGAATGCACAGACATAGAAAACACATGCAACTCTGATGTGCACATTTGTGCTGATAGTACATCTGCAATACCATTAAAAATGTCAAAATCAGCTAATTTAATGGTGGTTTCACAATGATATTCTTATTTTGGAGCGACAACAGTAAATGTGTGCCACAACCCAAAGGAGACGAGGTGCTCTGTGTGTTCTGACCCACAACATGCTGGCATCAGAACTGCTAAGCAGGAGACGATGAATCARGTATGATTTCAGTTTATTTAGCTTAGCAACGGTGGCCCGTGAAGTCCAAAAAGGCACATGTTTTATGTAGTTGGTTTGGTTCAAGTCCGGTCTGTATTCACACCAGAAGTGAACCGAACCAGAGTTCGTTTGGAAGCGGATTGAGACCACCTCAAAAAGCAGGTCTCGGTCCAGTCACACCTTCAAAAAAGGTCCGGACCAATGAGAGAAATGAACTCTGGTCCAWTTAAAGCRAACCAAATGTGTCAGGTGTGAAGAATACGACCTAACCTGTATCGTTTGTGTCTTTCCGAATATTCACTRGTAAGAATTCTTCTAAATAATCTAAACATTTCTTTTGTTTAAATTAACCCCACTGTAAACATTCTATGTACATCTACCAGACCACACCCCCAAACATTCCTGACCCCTCCTCTAACAGGTACAGGGACTTATTGTTGTGTTCAGGAAATAGTCTGAAATGATTCACGCTTTATGACATGGAGCGTTATCCTGATGGAAATAGCCATCAGAAGATGGTACACTGTGGTCATAAAGAGATAAACATGGTCAGCAACAATACTCAGGTAGGCTGTGGCAACTGAGGATCAAGTGTCCCAGGAAAATATCCCCCACACCATTGCACCACCACCACCAGCCTGAACCGTTGATACAAGGTAAGATGGATTCATACTTTCATGTTGTTGATGCCAAATTCTGACCCTACCATCYGAATGTTGCAGCASAAATCAGCTCRAACCAGTCTGSCCATTCTCCTCTGACCTCTGGCATCAACAAGGCATTTGCACAYACAGAACTACTGCTCACTGGATATTTTCTCTTTTTCAGACCATTCTTGTTAAACCCTAGAGATGGTTGTGGGTGAAAATCCCAGTAGATCAGCAGTTTGTGAAATACTCAGATCAGCCCGTCTGGCACCAACAACTATGCCACCTTCAGAGTCACTTAAATCATCTTTCTTCCTCATTCTGACGCTCGGTTTGAACTGCAGCAGATCGTCCTGGCCATGTCTACATGCCTGAATGCAYTGAGTTCYTGCCATGTGRTTGGCTAATTCCACATTTGCGTTAATGAGCAGTTGGACAGGTGTACCCAATAGTGACCGGTAAGTGTATAAACACATTTATTCCCATCATTTAAGTTGCCCATCCCTGCTACAGACAAATAAAGCAAGTGATTCTTCACATAATTTGCTCTACGGTGGTCATTATTGTTATATAAAAGAGCATAATTTTCCACTTCTGAACTCATTTTACCTCGAAGCATGCTACAAATCAGTGTTCTGGTCCACATAGAAGAAAAATAGAACTCCAAGTGTTTTAATTCTAAACTTCTCAACATGTCAGAGCAGAAGGGACAGTTGTGTGTCTTCCTTGTATTCTCTCACTGTCTGCTGGCAAGAAAGACAACATTGGGGGTGTAACAAAAGACTGAAGAGGCGACGTGAGAAGATCAGACAAACTGCCTAATTACATCAGAGCTGAACAGTTTTTGAAATAAACCAAAAAAACATTGATTTGGATGACATTCTAGGTCACTTATTTTACTTAAACAATACATATCCTCTTTGTGACGGAAAGCTTTGAAGGTTGTTGTTGTACATCTCGTTCATTAAGTGTAATTCACATACCTTCAGTGTTACTGTACACAGAAGACAAAATCATCCAAGCATTGCAATGCACTGGAGAAAACCACTAAAAGGTTTTGATTGGATAGAAACACCGACAGAAGCAATGTGTGAAAGTTTAGAAAAGCCTTGTGCCAACAGTGATCAGCCTTCATGAGCTGAAGGGATCATAATCATGTGTCAATCTAAATTTGAGCAGGAGAGGAAAGATCTGTGCAAACTGAAGCAGTGATGTTGACAGTGAATGGTGAGTGTGCTAAACCCAAGTCTTCCTTTTAAAGTTGAACCTTTCAGACAGAWTCTTAAATGCATTTGGCAAGCAGCCTGATTTTTGAGTGGATTTCACCACAGAGAAACAACTTTAACTAWATTCTTTGGTGACAATGGGAACAAACACATTCAATGCTGTGTCAGGAGGCTTGCCCACTGTCGAATCTGAATCTGATCTAACCATAGATTAATAATCTAAAAGCAGGCTGTCAAACTCTTGTCTGCAGAGCTGTGAAGTCAAGGGTGATCATGCAGACAGAGGCTGTTAAGAAATGATCTCCGTCACTGAGGAAYTGAAACAAAGCCACAAAGGGACAGCAATAGATTAGACCACAATGTCACCATGGGGCTCCTTAAACAGTTTMTTAATGTGAAGCTTAAAATCACTCAGTTCTCTTTTGGGTTTTTGGAGGAAAACTTTGCCGAGGAGACGTCAGACAGACTAAAGCTAATCCACATGAAGAAAGGAAGGCCCTCTGCCATCCCTCCTTCTCTGCCTGCCATTGATTAATCTTTGAGGGGGGGTGGGCAGTGTTGTGCAGATCTGCTCATGGATTCAGATGTGGGTATATGGAAACATTTGTGTGAGCATAAACAACATAAACACACACATTAGTGTGCCACTCTGCAGCACCTCTCAGCAGGTGGAAGAAATCGGATCCAATCAGCAGCACCCTCAACTCAGGAAATATAAGGAATCCACCCAACATATGACTGGTTTGGCAACAGAGCTGAGGAAGGCAAACACAGTCTCCAAAGCAGCATTTCATGGGAAAAGGACTTAGATTAAACAAAGGACTACCGGTAAGCCGTTCACTGGAGTCATTTGAAATGTAATGTGACTTTGGTTTTGTATTTGAAAAAAAAAAATGCAGAATCCATTGAAGAAACAGTTTGCACTGCTATTTTTACAGTTTGACTCTTACAGTAAATGCATATTTAAGATGTTTAATGTAAGAAAAAAAACTTGTTTCCTGAAGAAAAGAAAAGTGTCATTCTAAAAATGTTTGGATTTGTTTGATTCAGCAAAATACAGAATTCAATAATTTAATACTTGATTTCATGGTTAAAATTGTGAATTAAATGTTACCTAAGGTTAGAAATGGAATTAGAAATGGAATTAG